CAAAATTGTAGAAATGTGGAATCACCACTGGTCTCAAAAATCTTCCAAACTTAAGGAAATCAAGGTTACATTATATCCTTAGAACAACAAAGCAACAAACCGCTTTCATCAAGTCATAATTACCAGATTACGACTGGGCCACACTCCCCTTACGCACGAACATTTATTGAGGAAAGAACCGCCACCAAAATTTTTCGCGTATGAAGTGCTTGTGACTGTTAAGCATGTTCTGGTAGAGTGCCTACTGTTCACAGTTGAGAGACTGAACAATAAAATTCCCTCCAAACTAAGTGAAATTTTCCAAAATAGCAATACCAACAATATTGTTGAATTTCTTAAAGAATGTAACCTTTTATTCAAACCGTAATATAAACAACTGCATGTTTCAGATATATTTTATATGTTTGCCGCTAATAGCTACGGATGATGCGGTTTTTTCTAAATACAAAAAAATATATATCACAACATGTTTCGCTAACACAGTAGTTTTATCAAGTGATTTGAATACTTAAGGTTGTTTCTTACAATAATATTTATACTACAGGAACTCCAAAAAATTACCTAAACCTCTACCTAAGGTACCTTTTCAATTATCATCACCTGAAGCATATTACCTAACATCTACATCAATAATAATTCTTTCTCGGTTTTTAAGAAAACAAGTTCAATAATAGTAATATATTCAAATTCAATTGGTCATTCATAAGAATGTTTGAATTTTTCAGTTTATTAATTTCCATGGCTTTCAAATGATTCAGTTTGAAACCTTAATTTTCTATGTGCAAAATTTCGAACTCTTCGTTAAAGATATGATTTTCTTCTAGAAGATGATTTAAATATGTTGAATTAGTTTTCTTATTCACATAGCTCGTATGATGTTCCTGGATTCTATTTCTAAATGTTCTGCCAATATGACCAATATATACCTTAGGACACGTTCCACACTTTAATTACTACTGATTTCTCGATTTTGGATGTTGTGTCTTTATTATTTTTAACTAATAATAGGGGTGCCCAAGCGGGGATTCCGGGATTTACTAAAGCGCGGCAGATTACCCGACTGAGTACCTCCACCAAATATGAGCCACATATATAAGGCCGCCTGTGAGGGATAAAGGATCAGATTAGTAAAAAAAATTGATCATCAGAAATTCTCTAGTGTGTCAGATTAAGGTAGGGTGAGTTAATTACCTGCTAAAAAGTGTATATTCCAGTAATCTGACAATTTAAGGGTGACGTAAAGAAAAAGGAGGTCAGCAAAGTTGTAAAAAAATATCGTCATTTCGACATTCTCCAACGTAGCTATTTTTTTATTTTGAAGGAAATAATTCAAGGATAACGAAAAATATATAATCTGGCGATTTCCGCAAG